TTTTTTCATTATTTGAATAATTTTCTTTTGCAATCTAAAAGTCTGAGTACTAAATGATGACTTTCCCCAGAATTTTATGCCTCTTCACAGACGGGACTGTACATTTGCAAAATACACACAACGAGCTGCAAGAAGGCTGACAGAATTTGAAAGAATTCTGAATGCTTATCACAATAAACTTAATTTAGTGTTTAATTTTGTACATTCCATTTGAGGTTTGACTGACTTGAGAGACCGAGAAATTTTGTTACCTGAACATAATACACATGTAATCGTTCCAATGTACTTGCCATCAACCTACTTGACAACAGTGAAACTATCCGATGGCTTAAACAGTATCCTTTAGATCTTTCATCAAGATTGTAAATTATTCATTTCTGTAATTGTGTGTGCATGTATGGACCTCCAAAAATTTCTTTCTTTTTTTTTTTTTTTTTTTTTTTTTTTTGTAAAAAGAAGTGAATTATACTTATAAAGATGGCTCAAGTCCAATTTTTACAGTTAACTCTGAAATTTCGAATATTACTCAAGTGTTATTTTTTGGCATCTTCCTACAAGGACAATATGGATCAGGGAATCTGGACAAAAACCTGACCGAGATAGGGGAAGAAGCTGAAGTACAATACTTGTTACAGGTTCTTTACAACTATACAATCCAAATAATATAAAATTCATTAAATGTCATTGTTAAAATTAATATTACTTTTCTTTTGGATGCTCGGTATAGTCTCTAATTGTATAGAAACAGTTGTGTAGCAGAAAAGGTTTTGCTTAGGACTTCAACTTTTGTATCGAATTTAATCGTTTAATATAATTTGGCAAGGTGTTCTGAAATAATGTACATGTATTATATGTGAATGTTTTGTAGTGAGCTGTTGATACTGTCATCTGATGAATATGATCACTACGTCGAGTGTTGTAGTTATAGACAACGGCGTTTGTAGAAAATATATTCCCGCCCTTAAGCAAGTCATTTTAGATAAAATCCACTTATTCATATATGAAAAGACAAGGTAATGATAAAATACCTACATCAATAAAGAGAGGCTTACTTACAAGAGGCTTACAAGCTGTTGTACAAATGATAGCGTTTGCACGGGTATTTTTTCCAATACGAAGAACACAGCACTTCAGTGGATTACCGGTGAGCAGTCAGTTGTTTGACCATTAAGGTAGCCTGTCAAGATCTTGAATATTGAGAATGAGTGGATTGCTGTAGTATTTCACGTGGTCGGCGAACCACTCATTGCGGGCAACCATCAGGTTACAGAGGTCGGTTATGTAGAGTAGGAAGAGGAGCCGGCCCAAGGTTGAAACATATGGTACCGCTGATGACAGACTTTTCAGAGGAGTGAAAAACGTCAGTTCTCACTCGAAAGTTGGGGTTTTGTAGACAGCAATGTTCCAACGTAGGTTACTTCGTAAACCCAAGTGCTCGAGAAAGAACTAAAGCTTTTCATGGGGGTCTCGATCGAAAGCGTACGACGTCAATATAGATAGCCGACGTTTTGCCGTCACTCAAACATTTCAGTCGGTTGGAGCAGATAGACCTGCCTTGAAAAAAGTCATGCTGGTTATACGGAAAGAGGATGTCCTTGAGAAAAATTTAGTGTCGGCTTGTAGGGTAGTGCCAGTGTGCCATGGCACCACCAACCGACGGACAAATATGTGTATCGTTTCTTCAATATTTTTTCTTTATAGTAATTCATTTGAAGGAACGCCTAGATCTTCGATGGTCTATCAATACTCCCTTCACTCAGGACGTGGCGCAATCTGTCGGCCCCCTCCTGAACCTCTGAGCCGCCTAGTGGTTGGCACCGTCGAGGCCATTTTATCGCTATATGAAGAACGCTCTGTAGGTTTCTATGCATCTCTTACGGACTCTTATCCCAAAACGTCCGTCTGTAAAAACTAGCGCTTACACCATTCATAGGATTTTTTCCAATATGAATACTCTGCGGTCGATCAAGCCTAACTGAAAGCACTGTGATTTTGAAAACCAGTCTTTAAATTTTGATGGTATTTTTAGGCGTTTGAGGGTATTTAGCCTCTGGGACATTTTCAAAATTTTCTCAAAAATTGCTAATTTTTTCCTTTAAATTTTTCGTAATATTAGAGTGAAATACACTTATAAAGATGGCATAGGCCATTAATGCATTTTTGAGTACAAGTACTTCATATAGACGTCTTATAAGTAGTTTCTTGGCTCAAAACGTTTTTGTGAAAATTAGCTCGAAATCACCCATTTCCAAGAGGCTCCAATTTGTTTTTTACATTTTTTTAATAGGGATAGAGCTAAATACACTGAATAACAAGACAAAGGCAATTTTGATGTATTTATTTGATTTTCCAAAAATTTCACATTTTTTTAATACCTCTTACGTTATCGGCGATATGTATACATTACTGGATTTGTGAAGACGTGTTTCAAATTATTTCCGATGAAGGTTCTTGAAAACTCAACATGAGCACAAATTTGACCATTTTCAGCAACACTCAAACAATGTCTTCTAAAAACTGTTATAAATTTTTCAATACAAGCTTGCATATTGGACTAGGTTAAATTCTATAATATTTTCAGTTATATCTTAAACATTAAGAAAACATAAAAAATTGTCTTTTAGGTGCCAATAGATTGCAGCTGAGAAGACGCTGGGGCAAAACTGAAAAGATATCACAGACCAAAGAGATAACAAAACTTAGTAGCACGAGTCTGTGGCATTCTGTAGCCCCATTAGTTAAAGGTCTATGCTTTTCATATCAGTTGTCCCTACCTGGTTCTGTCTTTCAATTCAGCCATAGATACTGGTCCACCATTGTTTATTGCATGATTTCTATTCCTGAACTTCTACATTAAGGGTGGCTTTGTGGTTTGTACTTTCGCGAAGAGAGCAATCAAACTTTTGGGCTATATTGTATTCAACATTCTTCTTAGGTAGTCAAACCATATTATTCGTATATCCAATATATGACTAATTCAGATTGTTGCACCCATTTTCTTATCATAACATTTCAAATTTGTTTGTTTTCTGAATTTTGCAACTTCTCCTCAATGGCTCAAAACATTTCAATAGCATGTAATCTATCTCTGGTACTCTGTCAGAGCCAAGACTGCAAGTCTTTCCGAGGTATGTAAAGATACATTGAATAATGGATCGGTATAGCATGGCAAACTTTGATCTTCCATGAGTTTTCCAATGTTTTCCATTATATATTGCTACATGATACAATCATCCACATTTTTACACAATTGCCAGTCTCTATTAGAAAAATTAGGGTCAAAATTAGGGTCTGTGATTTCAAAACAATTAGCTTTTTATAAGCGTGTATTTTCAAGGGACTTTCATTGAAAGGAAGAGTATACTCAGTAACGACTTGCACAGGGTGTTTATTTTTTTTTTTTTATTGTATTTTTTTAGTGGGTTTGTGATCTCAATTTTTTTGGCTACAATATTAGAACACTGTGGGACATTGCATAGCAAGGGCAGAATGGGGACAGGGAGGGGCATAGCATTGCAAATAAAATTATTTTCATTTTACCCTCTAGGTTGAATTCAATACTTTTCCAGAATGAAGAGTTGATTATGGTAAATACATACACAATGACAGGTAGTTCAGCTATTGGGAAAATAGAATTGAAAAATTTGAATTTTTTTTGTTCCCTTTCTTTGAACCTCCAACTTGAACTTCAAACTCCCCTTTAATCTGCATTTTCAAAATGGACTAAAATAATGAAGTTTCTGGCCCTTCTGTCTGAATTTTTCAGATGCCACATCCATACAGAAATTTCCTTCAGTAAAACCACATTACGGTTTTGAGTTCTTGGCAGACACCAGTGCCTGCATTGTTTCCAACAATTTTGCTAACGATTCTCCCAATTAGTACTTTAACTTGCATAATGTTAATTGATCTTTTTTAGGGTTCATTCATATGGCACAGTATTCACATATAAACACTTGTTAAACAGCTTGGTTAATATTTTAATTATGTATGTGCACCTTTTTTTTAAAAAAAATATTTACAGATATATTTTCTGTTGTTGCTGCTTTATTGTGATATTGTTTTCTCTCTCTCAGTTTCACTGTAATTTGGCACTGACAAAATAGTGTGCAGCTGAAGCAATAAAATTAAAAGTATACTTGTCGAAAGTATATTCCCTCATCTATCCAAAGAAAAGAAACACAAAGTAGTTTAATTTCTAAGATCATATTTCAGTTATCTATGCAATTCACTTTAAAAATTATAAGTTTTGGTTGATAATGTGTTGCTTATATATATCCAGAATAGGCTTGAAAACAAAGGTCGCTGCTGCTGGCCTGGATAGTAGAGGTCGCTAAGGCTGGAAGGCTGTAGCTGCCTCAGCTCGAAGGGTCGCAGGTTTAAATCCTGGCTCAAGCATGGATGTTTGTTCAGTCCTTACATGTTCTTCCTACAGTTAAAACAATCACAGTGGTCGCTATGACCAAGTTGTTAAAAAGCAACCTAAAAAGTCACTGCTGTAGGCCATTGAGGCACTGGGAATCATGAGAACCTCCTTAAATTTCAATATTCTTTGGATTCATTATTAGGCATGAAAAATAATATCTGGGATATAATTTGCACATTCTAAGATAGTACAACATTTTTATCTTTTGGGAGTCCGACATCTCTTTCTGATTATTACTTTCCCACTTTTTTCATTATGATTTGTTTCAATGAAAATACAGTTATAAATAATAGATAGAATAGAAATCATAGAGATAGAAAAGAAATAGTGAATATTATGATAATAATTTTTCAATACAAATTCTACCCTTATTTTTCACATTTACTTCAACAGTAACTTTGTACCAATTTGAAACTTTTTAACAGTATTAATATACACATTCAATATTGATTTATTTCATAAGAAACTGTATGTTATGTACTGGGTATAAGTTGTTGTTGTTGTAGTTGTTGGTTTTTTTTTTGTTTTTTGTTTGTTTGTTTGTTTGTGAGCTCCATTCCATTAATAGGGTACTATGTCTGCCCCGTGGCGCAGACGGTTGCGGCAGACGTTGTCTGTGCCGAGGAGGCTGCAGGTTCGAGTCCTGTGTAGACATGATCGTGTATCAGTCTTCTTCACAGATTCATAACATCATCCTCCATCTCTCATTATCACCTTTCTGAATAACATTCAGAATTGTAACTCGAGGATTTATCCTCACCTCAAGGTGATACCTTCGACAGTCGACCACGAACAGTAATAAGTGAAGTGGAACGACTCAAGTGGTCCAATGAGGCCATCAAGTTAATAATAATAATAATAATAATAATAATAATAATAATAATAATAATAATAATAATAATAATAATAATAATAGGGTACTATACTTTTTACTCATTTTTGTATTACTACATGGGAGTGAATAAGTTATATTTCATACTCTTTCCTTTTAGAACCAGTACCAGAATGCACCAATTGCACTTCTTCAAAAAATAGTACATTACTATATACATCATATTCATACAATTTCCTTTTATTGAACTGTCATTAGGGACACATTTCACATGTATCAATAGCTATTGATGTAACCAGAACAGAAAATGAGTGACAAATGAAACGTTGACTGACGAAGCAACAACTGGAGCCAAGTTCAGCCTCTTGAAATGAGTACACAAAAGACATTTGCATTACATTCATCCTTTCTTTTTTAGCAGGAATTCATGGAAAGTATATAATCTGGAGATCATTCTCCTTGTGCAAGGCAGCAGCAATAATTCATGTCCCAGTGCTTTGTTTACAGACAAACCTTGCATATCCACAATTTCAGATAATCCAAACAAAATTCATAATTGCAGAAAAATAAACAAAATAAATAAAATTCTTATTTTTAATGTAAAGAAAGGACTGTATAATTACTGTAAAACTGATCAACTAATTACTGAAACACTCGAAATGAAACGTTTATTGTACTGGTAACTACAGTGAATTTCACATATGCTGTAATTTTCATTTAGAGCAACTTGCGAAATTGGTAGTAATCTTTTGCCATAAGGAACTGAGTCTGCTTGATGATGCAATCACTATGCTATGTTGCATTGCCTGGTAATCCTATAGATTAATTTGTGTATGTAACATTGTGCGTGTAATTTGCATTTGTGCATGTAATTTGTGTACAGAACATTTTTTCGGATAATACAAACAGACCACATTCCCAATTACTTCGGAGTACCCGCTTTACTGTACTTTCTCATTTTTTTACATGACCACCTATATATTGAAGTCTTTTATAAGACCTTGACTTCTTTGCAATACATGTATGGTAAAATATACTTCAAATAAATCAATAAACTACTATATAAACCACCACATACAGTACTTTAAAGAATATAATTAAAGCAAGGTTTACCATAAGGAAATAAAGTTTTTGACTTCTTGGCAAAAAACAATCAGAACTAATTTAATCAATCATTAGCTAGAAAATGATCATTTTATCCCAAGATCCCTCATCTCTCTAGCAAAACAATATAAAAAAACATCTTTCAACCAGAATGTTTAATGAAACCAAATCTGCAATTAATAGTCTTACCATACGTTACTGGAAAATAAGTGGATTTTAAGCACACTTCCAAAATGTTACCCTGCTTATCACTGGTTTTTTCTTTACCAAATTTTAACCATTGGATTTCTGTGCATTCTTTGGACCAATCTTTCAGCATGCCTCATACTTGCATCCTATGTGCATGTACACAATGGCATCTTCTAGGCGTGTGTGGCAGGGGGGCACCCCCCCCCCAGCAGCACTTTCAGGGGCGGGGGGGGGGGCAAAATAACACCTGCAAATTAGATCCCGGTATGGACAAGTCCCCGCAGGGAAAAGCATGAGGGACACTGGCAATCCAAAGAAGCTTTCATTGATGGAACATTAGTTGTCCAATACACATTAACTGAATTGTATATATGTACACACTTTCCAAACTGTGATTTTAGTGCTCATAAGTATGAGTAGTGATTGTGAAATTATTGAACTGTGTTCAAATATTGTGAAATTATTGAATTGCGAAATTATTAGTATTCGAATATTCTGCAAAGAAATGGACCTTGTTCAAGCTGGCATATTTTACTCTTTTAAACTGAAATATCTAAATAAGGGGGTGGCGAAATTTTCCTCTGCACTGGGCGGCTGACACCCCTCCTGTGCCACTACAGTATATACAATCTATCATGTACATGTATGAAGAGGACGACGCTGAACATACGCTGTTCCATAGCCCGAAATGGGACAAGCTAAGGCATTGCAGGATATGGGAGGTCGGGTGTAATGTGTCACCAGAAATCATCGTTACACATAATTAGTGTAACCAGGAGGAGTAGACAGCAATAGCGAGATATATCACCACCATTCTCAAGAAGAAGGAAGGAGACTAAACAAACCAGTCATAGCTGAACCTGAATAGCACCTCGAAGTAATACAGCTGGCACCATCCTGAAGTAATGCATAATTGCAGTTTCCATTGCTAGGAACATAAAGGGTTTGTGGTTTTAGTGGGTAAAAATCTCACACTGTTGAGGAGTGCAGGCTCCTCTTCATCTTTTCAAGATTTCCACAGTTCCCCTCGTAAAAAAAAATTCCATCATGTACTGCAGGTAAAAATGTAACACCTGTTCCAGTTTCAGAGAGATAGTGGCTAATAGTGTTACAGATTTAACTATTTTATTTGCGAGCTTCCCACACCTCTTCAGAGTTCCAGTTAAACTGCGCTCTATTTTTTCCTACATTGTGTTGAAAGTAGCACCTTTTTTCTTTTTTTTTTCTTTGCCAGAAAATTACTCTAATCAGAGTTTAGTGTAAGAGTTAATGTCTGAAGTTTCCATTTCTTTGCCGCTTGTTCTCCGTGACTGCTGCAAGGTAAAACTGGAACCTTGCCTGCATGGCCAGTCTGTATTCCATTCCATTATGGCCAGTCTGTACTCCATTATTCTTTGGCAACCTATTTTTCCATTTCCCAAATTTTCCTATCCATTCAAGAGTATAGGCTTTGATAAATTTTCTTTTCTTAATTTTGTTTCGTGTAAATAATAAACTAAAATTATGCACATTGTTATGAAGCAACAATTGTATGTTCGTTTTTTCTGTAAGAAGATATTAAATGATCTAAGATTTAAGGAGTTTATGATTAATTCCTATAGTTCACCTCTTTCAAGTCAGGGTTGCATCTCATAATAGTTATGAAACCTTTTCATAACCGAGTCACTTTACGTGCCAAACCTTTGGAACTGATTAAACAGGACAAAGTTTATATTAAACGCTCTAAGTAACTTAACTATGATCTATGGATGGGCAGAAAAACAACTTATTTAATATGCCATATGGCTTATTTAATATGCCATAACAAAATATGTAATGGCACAATAATATGTTAATGCCATAACAAAATTCTCTCTTTTCAACTTCCAATGAGAATTAATTGTATGAATTTCCAAAATTGAAGTTAAAGAGTAAGTATGAAAAATTCAGGTCGTTAAAATTAGATCTGAACAGAAAAATACAATTTAAGTTCAGAAATTTGTTGCACAAGAAAAGCGACAACTGAAAAATAATTTTTTAGTGAAGATATGTTTAAAAAATAAGTATTTTCACTCAATTTCATACATAGTTTAAATGACAGCCAGTTAAGTAGCAATGGCAGATAAATAAATGACTTTGCCGTGGTTAAAAATCCTCATACTCAAAAATGGAGAATTTGCATTCGTCATTTTTCTTGTGCCCAAAAGAATTACGTTTATATTACTTTCTATAGATACAGCTTTTGGAGAGGGTATAAGGGCAAATTAATAAAGAAAAAGGCGAAGTTTCATTTACAATATATCATTGATTTATTAAAACTTGATATATTCAGGATACTTAATATTTTTTCATTCATCTGTAAGTGAGAAATGACAAAAAGGCATCACTTAGCTCACTAAATGGAATAAGTGACTGGCAGTACGTATGGAGTCATAATACCCAACTATTGGCTCACTCTTGCTGGAAAGAACATCTGTGAGTTTTAACAACAAAATAAAACAAAGAATTGTATTATCACTTCAGTGGTATCGAAATGCAGTTAGTGCGTACTTGACATATTAATTTGTTACTTTCTCTGTGAGAATGTATTAAGTTGAAATAAACAGTATTGCTAGAATCAGCCAAGTGCTAGGTATGTCTGTTCTAGATAAACAGGTAGTCAAGTCTCCATATGAAATGAAAAATATTAATTACTCTGCATGTCAACAACAAGCAGTAACATGCATGGAACTGCTAGGAGTAGCAAGACAACAGGAAACCTAGACTCAGACAACCTAAACTGGCTAAAAATCTCTCCATACTCATACACAAGAGACAACAATGTCTGAAATAAGTTAAATTGAACAATAGATATCATCTGAAATTACATATTCAATAACTAAAACTTTATACAGCACTTATTACGCTTTAATTAAGTCTTCTTCAGCAAAATAATTAGCTCTATATGCCATCTTTGGTACAAGAGAACAGAGACCCGGCGCGGGTCAATGCTGTCTCAGTAGCGATAATTACATATACAAATCTTGTTAGCCAACAAGTTATACAAATAATATAAGAATCTATTCGGAAACTGAAACAAAAAAAAACATCACTCACCACAGTATCTTACACGCACACAAACTGATGTTTGCTCCAAGCAGATTCAATGCTGTTAGTGCTCAACAGCGTTAAGTAAGCAGCGGCTGCTTTTGCCACATCTCCGAATCCAACAAGCAAATCTCAGTTTTCAGAGATTTGCTCAGCGTTGGGTCCAGAGAGACCCACATTGCCGTTTCACGCAACTTTGCAATGCGTAGTAATATTACAAAAAGAAAAACCAGAAAAATCAATATCTGAAGCTTTCAGAATTCTAACAAGACAACACAACACTTTTCCAAAAATAGCTGCGCTGCAAAATGATTCACAATACCTCCTTAAAATACTCGAATTTATTTTTTTCCCTAAATACGCCTACGATTTCGGAAGATAACGACATCTCGAGCCCAAAAGCGACCCGTAAACGCGTTGCAATAACTGTATCAAAATATGGAAGAGACCGACGTCCTGTTCGAACAGCCTGAATAGTAACTCTCCGCACGTCGAGCACGCGTTCCCGCCGCCACCGCAGACGCCGGCTTTGCCGCTCTTTTCTTTGCGTTTGACTAGCATCGATGTCCGTTTTCGCCGACAGGCGCCGTTGCTGTCGCCATTGTTGCGGCCGCCTGCGTGTTGGGCGGTTGTGGGCCGCACGTCGTCTTCAGTCTTCGCGCCGGCCGCCGTATCACCCGCGCCCGGCCACGGAGGCTCGCCGGCCCTTTACCTGAGTGTGGGTCCGCGACCGGCGGACGGGGGTCGACACCCGCGCCCGCCCTCGTCGCTCGAAAAGTCGATCGTACACTCGCCCTCGTGCTCACACGTACGCCGGGTTGAACACATTGAAGAGGACGGCGAACAGGGTGCAGGCCGCGTACACGCCCAGCGCCACCCACCACATGAGCTGTTCGTGCAGCTTCTGCTCGAAGTTCTTGAGCACAAGCAGGCCGATGGTGAGCCCTGCCAGAGCCCCGGTCAGGTGCGCTACGTAGGACACCGGCGGAGAGAGCTGGGTTGCGTCCGCAGCGTAGCGGTCGTAAACTGCGAAGCCCACGTCTGCACTCGCTGAGGAAAGGAAAAACAGACTGTTTTAAAACATGTCATTCCTTTCTTATCACTTGTACTCTTAATTTTATTATAATCGAACACTAACTAGTGCCAGAGATTCGATTTTAGAACACCTGTGTATACGAAATCATAAGTAAGAATATCTCTCGAACCTTCGAACCGACTTCACGCAATGTCTATAAAGTCAACTTTACACATTTAAAAAACTACACTTGCATCATGTACTACATAAACATTAGAACACATCTGGATTTACGAAGTATTGCATCCGGTAACCTCCAAGCAAAATTGGCAAAGAATTTGTTTTCTGAGGACAAAAAAATGCTTTTAAAATACTCACCGGACAACAATTATGAGTAAAGTAATTCATATTTCATCCGACTGCTATTATCTGTTGATGTTTTATAAATGTCTGTAAATTTGCCGTGGCAGATCACGTGACATGAAATCGAAATGCGGGTTAGAAGAACCAGAATAAGAATACGGATAAGAAATGGGATTTTTTCTAGCCGTTCCCTTTTTAGGGAGCCGCCCTGGCCCATTCACTCAATGAATATCGAGCAAGATCGGTTTAATGTTTTAGGGGGCCCTTATGGACAAAGTATGGGGACCCTAATCATATTGAAGAATTCAACTTACGCAATAAAAAATATTAAAGGAAGAATATTTAAGAATTTTCATTTTTATTAACCAATACAAATGTTCGTCTCAAAAAATATTCATTGTACTTATGTAGACCTAAAAGCGTATTCATTAGCTTAAGCTTTAATCCACCCCTGGGACAAGGGCTTTCCAAGAGGTCAAATCGCACTAGAGTTGAGAATCTGGTTAGATTTTATTACATCCAAGGTCGTCCCTATTTCAGCAATGTTAAACATTTCGATATTGAATGGAAGAAGGTTCATTTCAAGAAATGTTCAGTAAACTTTCACCATCACTGAAAGAAAAAAAAAGAACCGTAGAAGAGTATACCAGATCCATGATACTGTAACAAGTTTCCTTGTCAGTCTCATGAATCTGATATATTCCAACTGTTCTTTTTCGGTGACATGTTCACCACACCGAAAAGCAGAACCGTTGGAATATTCCAGATCCATGATACTGTAACAAAAGGAACTTGTTGCAGTATCATGGATCTGGTATACTCCAACGGTTCGTATTTTTTCGGTGGCATGTTCACCACACCGAAAAAATCGAACCGTTGGAATATACCAGATCCATGCTACTGCAACAAGTTTCCTTGATACAGTATTATGGATCTGCTAAACTCTAACGGTTCTTTTTTCGGTGGCATGTTTACCACACCGAAAAAAAGAACAGTTGGTGTATACCAGATCCATGACACTGCAACAAGTTTACTTGTTACAGTATCATGGATCTGGTATACTCCAACTGCTCTTTTTTTTATTATCATTCTTTTTTTATTTCTTTTTTCGGTGGCATGTTCAGTAAATGTCAGGACTTTTTCGGCAAAGCTGTCCCATTCCGCCGATGCGGCATTCCCCTGATCACACGGCAGGCACTCACCTACAACAAAGATCCCGATGAGGCGCACGATGCCGAATTCCATATTGTTGTAGTTGAGGAGCACGTTGGCGAGATGGGCCGCCAACAGCGCGTACACGCCGCCGGACGCCCCGACCAGGTACACGTCCGTGTCGAACACCGACGTGCCCAGCGAGCCTGGAGGGCAAAAGGCGAGCGTCACTCCACTGGCAGGTGGAGTGGTGAGACCGCGGCCCCGCGCGCAGCGGGCCGTGCCGGGCCAGCGCTCGCCGCCAGCTGGCGTCGCCGGTATGCCTAGCCCGCGCGCCGCTGCGGAACGCGCGGCTCGACGGCGGCGCGGGGGTGGCGGAGGAGGAGAGAGAGGCATCCCCACCCCGACGCAAGGCGCCCGCTCCGCTCCGGGGCCGCGCGGGACCAAGGCGCGACCAGGGCCGGAAGGGCACACGCCCCGCCGGCGCCGGAACCGCGACCGCGAGATGCGCGACGAAACCGCGTCGCCGCGACCACTTCGGCGCCCGGCGGACGTCTTTGACCCGCGCGTCGGCCGCGTTCGGTTGGCTTCGGCGCAGCGCCAGCAGCTGTCGCGACCTCTGGCGACCGGACCGCAACGCGCGCGGGGCGTCTTTGGCTGCGGCCGACGCGCCGCGCGGGGCCTACGGCGGCGGCCGGCGGGGATCCGGCGGGCGCCGGGGCGCCGCTTTCCGAGTCGCGCCCGCGCGCGCCGCGCCCGGCAAGCGGGCGGGCGCCTCCTCGCCTCGGCGTGCGGGCGGCGCGGCGGCAGGGGGGGGGCGCCGGGCGGCGCTGCACCGGCACGCCCATTGCCCTCGGGCGACGGGCGAACGCGTCGCGCAGCTCACACCGTGCCTTCCCGGCGCGGGCAGGATTCGGGCTGGTCGCCGAACCGCCGCCACGGACAGCGCCACCCAGCCGCGGTACATCGCCTCGAGAGCGGCCTCCCGCCCAAGTCCTACCATTGTGGGGGAGTAGGGCTTGCGGCGAGGGTCGCGCTCTGCGGGCAGCGTGCCGGGCTGGGCCGCCGTTCCGGCGAGGTCCGACGAGAGCCGTGCACCTCCGAGCCCGGGGGGCACGGCGGGCGCGCGGTCGCGAGAGAGTCCGGCCCCGAGCGCTCGCGAGAGGCGTGGGCGGTCGAGCGCGCACGCGTGCTGGCCGCGGGGTGGCGACGCTGCGGCGGACGCGCGGGTGCTCACCTGCCAACACGCCGGCCATGTAGACGGCGCCGATGCGCAGCGACCCGTGCACCATCTCCAGCGGCAGCCCCACCAGCAGCTGCACCAGCAGGTTGAAGAGCAGGTGCAGCCACCTGCGCAACACGCCGCCCGGTCAGACACGCAGGCGGCAGGTGCGGCGGCGCGCGCCGCAGGTTACGGGGAGGCGGGGGCGAGGATGAGCGTAGGCCTCCGCGGCCGGAGTCAGTATTTACTAGGCTGTCCGGGTGACGCCGCGTCCAGGGCGAAGGAGCCGACGTTTCGGTCGCCATTCTGCGACCTTCCTCACGATGCAGAACTCCATGTTAGCATTACGCCCTGAGGAAGGTCGTAGAATGGCGACCGAAACGTCGGCACCTTCGCCATGGACGCGGCGTCACCCGGACAGCCTAGTAAATACTGGGGGCGAGGATGTTCGTGGTCCCATTTGAATGGGTGAATACCAAAACTGTATATCTGACTTTTCATAAATTCTAAAAAAAACGTCAATATCAGGTGCCAGTATTTCAGTTCCGATACAATTTCGTGGTTTTAATGAACAATTGACATTCAATGGTTTTAATGATGACACAAAGCACCACAACTTTACAGAGATTTAATTACATAAACAGATTTCTCAAAGTTTATAAAACATCACTTACACCGTTCTGATTTTCATCCATCCATTCTCAAATTTTGCGGATGGAAATGCATAGTTTAAGGAAAAAGAAATTTGGGGACGAAAACTAAAGAAGAAGGAAAAGAACTGGAGAAGAAGAAAGCAATTCACTTAACATTTTACGGAAACCAACCTGCGACCGTCATGGGAATCAAGCCTTTCAATTTTTTTTAAAAGAAAAAAAATCAACGAGTTTAAATGCTATGAAGTTTGGAAAAGAATGAAAAATGAAATAGAATAATAGGTTTTCATTTAGTAGCTTTATTTGTTAAATATTCTGACAATTCTGAAAAGAATAAAAAGTTTTGAAAATTGCGAATAAATGCTGAAAATTACGAAGAAATGTTAAAAAGACTTATTATGTTTGAGACTTCTCGGTAATATTTCCTCTAACATGTTTAAAAATAGTATTCTCAATTAAGGACGAATTACTATAGGGCACCTTAACAAGCAAATTATAACTTCTGCCCATCATTGCTTACGATTCTAATACCCTATAAGGCGTTCTTGATGTTGGATAATCCACACACAAACCGTAAACATTTTTCTAAATACACTATAATTGTCAGAATGTTATTTCTAGCAGTATTTTAAAAAATCGTTATTTAATTTAATTTTTGTGAAGAGTAAGACATCTAATTGGAACGTAATGTAGTAATTTCTTAATACATTTTAATGACTGAAAATTGACAAATAAAATGGTATCATAATCACTTGATTTGGGTTTTATGGCCCGGAAATTAATTCCCTCATAGGGTAATAGTTTCCTAGTCTGGGCCGTCTGCTTTAAAACAGGCTTTTTAATGTGAACACCTGTTGAACTACTACAATAATTACTTATTTTGTGTGTGCGTGTGTGTGTGTATGAGAGAGAGGGTGGGGGAGAGTGAGCGAGTGAGAACTGAGAAGAGTAATTCTGGAGCAACTTAACGCGCGTACATTAACAGAGCACTAGCAAGCACGCCATGCAAAGTAAATCAGGACACACCCTCCCCTTCCATCACGGGAAAAAGACTGGCAATTTCACCCCTCTCCAGCCTGCAAACGCCTCTCGACACGAAACCATCGTACAACACTTCGCTCTCGTGCGGTCGGGTACTGGAGTCGACATCTGCGACGATTCCTGTGTAAAACCGCGCCCTTCATGTTGCATCGAACGCAGAAAGCAACTGTCCGCGCCAAGCGCAACCTGCAGGAACGACGGCAAGAGCGTCGACGAAGACTGGTTGGGGGGAGGGGGGATAAAAGCTGCTCATCAGAAATATTTTTGAATTGACATATGTTACCTTTTGATATTAAGAGTCTGACGTATTTTGGGCTGAGCGTAATTGTAAAGAATTTCGCCTCGATACCAGTAGAAATAAAGATGTTTACGGCTTTAGGGAGGTATGCAAACACAGGACAAAACAGACAGCAACCGGCCGCTAAAATTCTCCACCAGACAGGCTGAATTCGACCGAGCTGTCTATCTAGCATGGAAAATCCTGCCACCGTCGGGGCTCGAATCCTTGTCGCTCAGGTCATAGCCTCTCAATTGTTGCCCTGAGCTAACCCAGCCGGTGGTTTCCATGGAGGACGGGACGATCTACAGTCTTCCCCGGAGGCTGCGTGCGGGCACCCCTGCGACGCGGGGCGGGGCGGGGAAGTGTGGAGGGAGGGGGGGGGGACTGGCGGCGGCACGGCACACACAGGGTCCGCAGCGATCAATAACTCGCCAACACCGCACTGCAGCGGGGGGGGGGGGGGGAGGCGAGGTCGTCGTCGGAAAGGGGAGGCGACAGCGCGAGGCAGGCGGCCCGCGGCCCTCCGCAACATAGTACACTTGTTTGGGGTAGTGGCCCGCGAACAATGCCACTACCCCAGAGAGGAGGCCCGAACATTTCGTGAGATTCAGGAAAGCCGGACAGAAGGGGGGGGGGGTTAGTACGTACGGCTCTCATCTACACACGCGCGAAATAGAGAATTCATAATCGATTCTTAATAACGACATATTCCTACTGTACCTCATTATCTAAAATGCCCTGAAACTTTTCCGCAAACGAGTTGTTCGTTGTCGTTTTTTCTCCCCTTTCCAGAGATGAATGTCAACTCCAGTTCAGCACGTGACTTCGTAGGTTTGCAGAGAAAAGCTCTTTCTGCTTTGACAGAGAAAACGTGCGGCAGGGAGGTTGTCAAAGAGATAACGAGACGAGAACGAATAATGAGCTCGAAGCTTCTTTTTTTCCTCTTTTTTTTTTCTTTTTTTCAGGGGAAGAAGAAATGTGTAGAGAGTAGGAAGACCGTGTGCGAATTCAAAGACATAGGGAAAAAAGAGGAAGCTGGAGCAGAAGAGGATACTATGGTAGAAAAATGGAGCGGAAAAGATAAAAAGTAAAGTTTCGAAAGGGATGTTGAAAACTAAAATGAGAGCAGCTACAAGTGAAAATTGAAAGCCCAAAAGGTTTCATGAAATAGTTATCTGACACTGCACAAACTGAATTGGCATTTGAAAAAAATTGCTATAAAACGTTTTGAATAGATGGAGATAATAGTTTTTAGTGTATAGAGTTTTGAGAGAGTTTGAAACGAAACGTTTATTTACGCATCAACTTCTTCTCGTGGATGAAAGGCAAGACGAGAAGGTACAAGTTTGAGAAGTTGAGAGGGTCCGGAGGAGGTGCAAGACTGTGTAAAGACAAGCTATCAAGGATGAGAAAATTTATAATAGATCTGAAGCCCTCGAGAGGACCAGAGAGACGTATGCAAAGAAAGAAAAGGAACGGAGAAAAGAAGAAGGGGAAAGGAACGGAGAACAGAAGAAGGGGAAAGGAACGAAGAAAAGAATAAGGGAAAAGGAAAAGAGAAAAGAAGAAGGTGAAAGGAACGGAGAAAAGAAGGTGAAAGGAACGGAGAAAATAAGAAGGTGAAAGGAAAGGAGAAAAGAAGAAGGTGAAAGGAACGGAGAAAAGAAGAAGGTGAAAGGAACGGAGAAAAGAAGGTGAAAGGAACGGAGAAAAGAAGGGGAAAGGAAAGGAGAAAAGAAGGGGAAAGGAAAGGAGAAAAAAAGAGGCAAAGAAAAGGCAGAACAAGCAAGGGTCGCGAGATCACTTACCCCGCGTGTAGCACCATGTAGAAGACGAAGCGCCACACCTCGAGGCGCTTGTCGGGCCTGTAGATGAAGACGCTGTCGATGGGCACGGGGCCCGACGGGTTCATCTCGCCGGTCGCCACCGTGTAGTACGTGAAGAAGCCCAGCTGCAACAGACGGCGCCGGCCTCAGCCAGGGGGCTCTCACCCCTCTCACTCCACTCGTGAAAGTTTGAGCGCGCCTTTATCTCACCCGCCAACAAAGAAGTTCACTCCAAGAGATAAACGTTACAACGCGGCGTGGAAGTCTCTCAAATCTAATTCATTCTTCGAACTGGAACCTTACGTTCAGTAAGGAAACTGATATTTGAAGTAGAATTATGTATTTTATCAGATTTATATCCTTTATTTTATGAACTTCATTTATCACAAAATTAAGGTTTTGATCAGCCACATTTCATATACACTTTTTAGATTAGAAAGAGTTGCGTAATCCAAAAACGTTGCACGCAAATCGAACGTCACTTTGTACAGATTTGGGATCTAATTGAGGAGAGTGGAAAGAGGGTACATGTCAACAAAAATTCAATAATTACATAATTGGATATTTGGGCAAATGTGAATAAGACATCGTATTTGTAAGAAAATAGTACATTCAATAAGATATTTGATTTGCATGTATTTCGAGAAAACAGTAAAATGAACGCACTGCAGAATCGAACTATTCTAAAAACAACGTTTATTAAACCAAACTTTAATATATTTTGTGTTTCATAATTCATAGTTATTTGACGTAGACTTCACCGCTGTGTTTCAAGCTCTCATCCCAGTTCCCACAGTCACCACTCCAGTCTATAAAGAGAGCTAAGAATCACAAGACTAGAAGAATAATGAGGTAAATGCAGAACGTGGGAGTGCTGGGCGTGGGAGTGCGAGGCGGGGCGGAGCTGGGGGCGGGGTGATGATATGTCGCAGATACCAGCACGAAGGCACAAGTACTGCAAGACTGCTAATCCCGGTTGATGACGTGAAGCAATGGTGCCGGGGGACAGCTGTAAATAGAAATTCAGCAATTCCAACAAATAGGATTTCAAGATCTTGGATTTTTGAAATAGTAAGAGTTGAAGATGTACCAAGAATGACTATATTATAACATATTCTTTTACCACAATATCTTAATTTAATCTCAGTACAATTGCGCCAAAAATTGTTTTTCTCTTAGAAGGAACTACTTTGTCCCCTCCCAATAACCCCTGTGAAGAAGGGGAATTTATTATCTATGAATGTTATATATTATGCTGCTGTCTGCGCTTAAGCAGCTACAGGCGGGGCTTTTTCTTACAACTAACCTTACAATCGGAGACCCTAAAGTTATTTTAATTGCACTTTGGCATTACTAACTTACACTAAAATCATTTTTGTTAATTCTATTTTATATATTCTACGGTTTTCTACTATTCGTTAATTCTACTATTTATATATGACTCTCTAGAGGAACCTTCCGTACTTCAAAAACTGACATAGCATGTTGTGCTTCTGAAAGCAACACTTCGCCATTGTGCGTTGAAGGCAGTATGGATCTGAGTAGGAAGTTACACCCAAATACAGAAAAATTACACTGTAGTGGACGAAAGCAAAACCTTCGCCTTTTCTACAGATTTCTCTGGAAACTACAACGTAGATCCCCCTCTGAACAGAGGATAAAATGATAGAAATACGCTACTCATACTCCTGAAGTATGAGCCTCTTTGATGGGAATCATTTAAATTGGTCCTTGAAAGTTCCCCGTTTTCTTGCTTTAAATCATTACTGTTTACCCACCCAGAAAATCTCTTCCGTGTGAACATTGCCAAATCATTAAGAGATTTTCGATTATTAGTTTTAATAAAATATTAAATTACACTTTCTTGGTCAGGTTCGCTCTTTGTTTCTACCTTACCCTTGATGCAATAAGGATTCGCCTTTATATTTACTTATGAATTGCATTCCGTTTAGTACATACAATGAAATCACTGTCAGAATAACTATTTTCTTCAAAATTAGTATTGGGACATTTTGTTCATAGAATAATACCTAACCACAGATGGAGAAACTGAAAACTGAGGCCAAGCAGTCAAAACTGCATAAAATAACACTCTTTACACGCAATATTTCAAAATACGCTTCGAGTTGATCCTTTATACATCTTTCTGCATTTCAATTAATTTAAAAGTTACCTGTCACTTATTTCTTATTTCTTTACATTTTACCACAATTTTGAATTATTTGGGTTTGCCCTGTTGAAAATAAATGCAGTTAAAAGAGACGCAACATGCTACACAGTGTATCGATTTGATGCGAGGAATACAGCAGCCTTCTCCCCTCAAGTACCTTACTTCTTTTCTTGTCCTTAAGGCATCCTCGTGGCAAAAATCGCATACTTCGAAAGCGCCTGTGAATTTCGTAGCATTGTCCCCCGAAGACCGCGATTTAGATTCCCGGACGTCAGCAGCAACGAAGGCATCCCTCGCAACGGGGAATGTGCGGTCAAGCGAGACGATTGTGTTCGCGACGAGGGGGGCGGGGGCAGGAGCAGGACAGGGAGAGGAGGCGGGCGATTCAAGAAGGGGCGCGCGTCTGGGAGGTGGGCCTTGCGGTGCAGGGTTAGGGTGGAGAGGGCTGGGCGGGGCGGAAGCAGGGGCGGGCGGGCAGGGGCGGGCCCGAGCAGGGCGGGGTGGGGCGGAGCAGTGGCGGGCGGGGCGGAGCAGGGGCGGAGCACGGGCGCGGCGGACAGGGGCGGGCGGGGCGGAGCAGGGGCGGGGCGCGCGGGGGCGAGGCGGAGCAGTGGGGCGGAACTGGGGGCGAGGGGGGCGGGCTGGGGTCGGGCGGGCGGAGCTGGGGGCGGGGCGGGGCGAGCTGGGGCGGGCGGGGCGGACCACTGCGGGGCGGGCGGGGCGCGGCGGTGGGCGGGTGGGCGGGGGTTTCGGCGGGTCTGTGTAGCACCGCGCTCCGTGTCTCTGCTCCAATGAATGAACAACCCGCTTGTT